TCATCCCTGACATAGTACCTGGCTGCTGCTCGGCCTCGACCTGATCGACTGCATAAACTCGGGCCTGCTGTCTGCCCCTCTGCTGCTGCTGCTGTGGTGGCCTCTGAGCCTACTGACGGGGCTGCTGCTGCTGTGGCTGCTGAGGCTGCTGGGGCAGCTGGGCCTTCTTCGGACAACGGTTAGCAAAGTGTCCGGGCTCGTGATAGTAATAGCATATATCTGGCCGAAGCGACACTCGCCTCGGTGAAAACGTCCGCATGTGGGGCACTGTGGAACCTGCTGTTGTCTCTGTCGGGTCCTCCTGTCGGTCTGTGCACCCTTCCCCTTCCTCTTCTTCTCCTTCGTCGGCTGGGCAACTGGTAGAGCTGGTGGAGCTGTGAATGACTGGGTGGGGGCAGATAGCTGGGGACGATCACGGATGGCCTCCCTCCTAATGCTGGCGTCCACCTCCTGGGCAATGGAAACGGCACGAGCGTACGTCTGGGTCCCGTGACCTACAATGTTGTGACGAACTGCTGGGTAAAGCCCGTCAATGAAGCGCTGGGCTCTCTGGGCCTCCGTACGGACCAAGTCAGGAACAAAAGCTGCAAGTCTGGTAAACTCTCTTTCGTACTCGTCAACAGATCGAGTACCCTGTTTGAGCGACAGGAACTGACGCTCCATCTCTGCTCTGTAGTAGGTGGGGTAGTACTTCTCGCGGATCAGCTCCTTGAGCATATTCCATGTACATCCCGCCTTCTCGCCGGGACGCATGCTCCAGTAGGCATTCCACCAGAGTCGGGCATCACCGGTTAGCTGAAGCTGAGCGCAGATCAAGCGATATCTGTATGGACAATCCATGACCTTGAAAATAAACTCAAGGCCCTGAATCCACTCGTCCACGATACGGGGGTCTCCCTGCCTGGAAAATTTCTCAGGGTGATAGTCGCGAAACTGTGCGACCACCGTGGCCTGAGGAAGAACTGGGTGATCGGGTTCCCTACGGGGCGGCATCTGAACATTGAAAAAGTTCAAATTATTGAACACATGAAAAATATTCTGACTGATTTCTAAGGTACACAGATCTCTTGACGAGTTGCCAAAAATGGCCGGAAATTACTGATATAGATCCTGAAGACGTCTAGAGTTATATCTGAGTACCCTGAATTCTAAAGTTTGGTCTTGATTCGAGCATCTTAACTAAGTCATGATTAATAATTTTTGAGCATAGACAATAGTAATATGTTTATAACTGAAAACATAAATCAGCACTTACCTGTAGTCGACGAGGAGTGAGGGTGACGGTTCAGGTTTTTCTGAAAATATCGGACTTATAAAACTTTTCAGAGACGCAGAAACGTGCTCTGATACCAATTGTAACACCCCGATATTTAAATAATATCAGAGTACGCATTTTTCGCAAATTTTATGAATAATTTAATAAAATATTTATTTTGTGAAAACTAAATCGGAGTGTTACCGTGAAAATCTGACTGAAAAACCGTTAATTTTTGAACTGATAATAAAAACGGTTATATAATATTTTAACCGACTAGTGTCGGACCAAAAACTGAATTTAAGTACTGAAAGTTTTAGCGGAACTGTAGCGTGGCCAAAACATAATTTATACATAACAAAACAAATGTCCTGAACAGCTCGTCAGCTCACTCCTCGTCCCCGACCCTG